AACTTTAGCGTGGCGCCATAAACCAACTCTGCTGGGGCACATTGCAAGTCAGCTTTGATGCTGCTGCGAATGCCTAAGAGAACGAGCGAAATGTTTTCGATCCAGCTAGGGTCGGAGGAGGCGCGGTGCGAGGCTTTAAGCTATCTGTCGGCCGGTGGCCGAGTGGTCTGCACGTTTGCTTTGCAACCATAAGGTCACCGGTTCGAATCCGCGTAGGGGTGGGCGTCCTCGCGGTATACTCAGCCCGCGCGCGACTGGTGGTGGTCGCGCTGCAGCGAAGCGCCGTTACGGCGTACAGCTGACACGTTACGTTACGTTAAGCTATCTGTGGAAGCGTTCAACTAACCCGTTGGCTGCTGGGTGATACGCTGTGGTATGAATGCGACAACAGCCTAAAAAGTTGCAGAACGTATCGAATTGGGAAGATTCGAAGGCAGTTCCTCGGTCAGTTGTAATGGTGGATGGGCATCCGTAGTGCGAGACGCACCGATCTAAGAAGGCCCGCCTAACAGTCTCAGCTGTGCAGTCTGTTACGGGAATGGCTTCTGACCATCTGGTGAAGCGGCCGACACATGTAAGCATGTATACATACCCGCGTGAAGAAGGCAAGGGGCCTACCAGGTCTGAGTGTACATGCGAAAACCGAGAGTCCGGGTGGGAGATGAACCAAGAGGACTGCGGGTGTGACGATATATTTTGGAGCGCTGGCATTGAAAGCAGGCGCAAGCCCAGGTAGGAACATCTTTGTTTACGCGCGGCCAAACGAAACATTCGGTGACCAGTTTCAAAGATGCACGGATACCGAGATGTGATAGTGAGAGGAGTACGTCGAAACTTGTGCATATGAAAGAGATGGGCACGAGGAGTCTAGGACAATTTATGGAAGTGTCAAAGAGGATGGTTCCTTCCGTGGTTTGAAGAAGAACAGGTTGCACATGCAGTGAAGTGGACTGCAGAGTGCGTTGTGCCTTCCTCTTGAGCCTGAGCCGATCCCATAGCGACAAGGTCGACGGTAGGCAAAGAATGGAGTGTGGGGTTCACGCGTGACAGAGTGTCGGCGACTGGATTGTCGACACCCGAGACGACGTATGTCAGCAGTGAACTGCGTGACAAAGTCTAATTGGCTTGGTTCCCGTGGTGAATATTTGTCGCAAGCAGAGCTGAAGGCGAAGACGAGGGGCTTGTGGTCAGTGTGGACCCTGAAAGCGCAATTTTCGAGTGTGTGCCGGAAGTGACGAATGGCTAAGTAAATGGCGGTCAGTTCTCTGCCAAAAATGCTGTAGCAGAATTCCGTGGCTGCAGGCGTTCGGAAAATAACCCAAAGGGTTGCCATTGCCCACCAACTTGTTGTTGGAGGATGGCTCCTACCGCGACATCTGAGGCATCGGTCGTAGTAGAAAGGGGTGCAGTCGATTCGGAATGAGCGAGGAGGGCTGTGTTGGAGATAGCATTCTTGAGTTCGGCGAAGGTTGTCTGTGCTGTGTCAGGGAAAGCGAACTTAAGTTCCTTCCCTCTGAGTAGGTCAGTCAGAGCCTGCATGAGCTGAGCGCAGCGCAGAATGAAGCGTCGATAGTAGTTGGCCGAACCACAAAATCGACGGAGATGCTTGAACGAAGTCGGAGCTGCGAAGTTCTTGATTGTCTGGATCTTATTAGGAAGGACTTTGATACCAGACGATGAAACGAGGTGACCTAGGAATTCTACTGTTAATTTGCCGAGTTCGCACTTAATCGGGTTGACTGTGACACCGTGTTGGGTCAAGCGCTGGAAGAGCGTTCGAAGGTGGTCGAGGTGCTCTTGTTCCGATGAACTGGCTACTAAAATATCATCGAGGTAGAAATGAACGAACTCTAGGCCACGAGTGACATCGTGGATGAAGCGTTGGAAGGTTTGTGCGGCGTTTGACAGTCCAAATAGCATTCTTAAAAATGCAAACAAGCCGAAAGGAGTGATAACGGCTGTTTTAGGAATGTTATTTTCTTCTACAGGTATCTGGTGATAGGCGCGAACCAGATCGATCTTGCTGAAGATCGTCTTACCTATGAGGCATGCATTAAGGTCCTGCATGAGTTGGATGGGATACCTATCTGGGATGGTTGGCCGATTGAGTGCGCGGTAATCACCGCAAGGCCGCCAGTCACTAGATTTCTTGGGAACCATCTGCAGGGGAGAGGACCAAGGGCTGTCGAAAGGGCGCATTATTCCAAATTCAAGCATGTGCTCAGACTCCGCCCTAGTTACCTTGAGTTTTTCGAGCGATAGTCGGGGTGGATGGCATGAGACGGGTGGGCCATTAGTCCGTATGCGGTGCGTGATTTGGGATGCCACAGGCAAAGCTGCGTTCATTGGCTGAACAAGCTTGGAATACTGGGAAGAGGTCGGCGTAGTCTGGCGAGGTCTGGGAAAAAGCGTAGTCTGGTGTTATAGATGCGATATCCCTAGTGATGCTACGTACACTGAGTTTCGTTGCAGTGTCGACTATCATCTGGCGTTTCGCATCGACCAAAAGGTCGAAATGCTTGAGGAAGTCAATGCCGATGATGGCAAATGTGACTGCAGCGACGGTGATTACCCAGCGGAATGTGTGCCGAAGACCTAGGTGCAGGGTAAGCGACCGATGATCGTGGATGGCTATAGGTGTACCATTGGCGGTACTTAAGCTTGTCGACAGAGAAGCGGTAGGTATAGGGGGAACGACGCTGACTTCCGCCACGGTATCAACTAAGAGCTGGATCTCGGAATCATAATCCCTAATGTAAATGAGACGACTTTTGGCTTTGCCGACACCGTTAGTCGCGATTACGGGCCGGCCTGGCGGACTATCTGTGGCGTAGTAGCTACGTGGCTGTACGCACTTACGGGCTTTATTAGCGAAACGCGAGTGGTACGAGCAGTAACCTGGGGCCCTAGGTTTTCTGCGACAGGGTGCTGATTCAGAGCGGCCGCGGTGCTTACGGTTTAAAGTGAGTTCCTCGATCTGGCGCTGAAGCGACGCTATCCGCGATGATAATGCGTTTATTGCCGATGGATGGCTAGTCGCGCGTGTCGGTGTGGTTGCGCCAACACAGCTGCTTAGGTGCTTTGGTTTTAGTCTCTGGCTGGTGTCGTTCGATAAGGCGGCCTGCTAGATTTGCACTTGTTGTGAGTGGCAAGTGAGTCACTTGCTACTGCAATGATAGCCTGAGTGCTCTCAGGAGGGCGTTGCATCCACAGCTCGCGGAGAATCCCTACGTCCATGTTGGACGTGCCGACGAGTTGTTGCATTTCGAGCAACAAGACTGAGGGCATCCTATCTCCTAGTTGCAGATCACTACATAGTTGCTACAGACAGATCTTGTCAGAAGGCGTGATTCGCTGAATAATAGTCTGTTTAAGAGTCTCGTATTTCATTACAACAGGGAGGCAAAATATGATGTCTCTCACCTGCGAGGATATACTCTAAGGAAGGCGAGATATTAGCTGATTCTACATGGAGAAATCAAAAGAAATCTTACAAACGTAAAAAACGGATTCTAGGTGCAAAAACCATAACGAAGGATCATTCTCCCAACTGCACTGACCAGGACAAGCTCAATGGCATTAACCGCGTATGGAGATTGCTCATCCGCTAGATAATCCATTGCAAAAAGCGGATAAAATATGTGATAGGTGAGAAAACAATGTGATCACAAGTAATGAATCACAAAATCACTGGAACGAGCTCACCAGAATGACAATCAGAAATGGCGGACAGCGTGTTCCGGAGTGGGGTCACCAATAGTTGGGTGGCGCCTGGGATACTAGTCGGTAATCAATGATACTTAAGAGACGTGTCATATACGGGACAGTACAGAAGTTGGAGGTGACTGGACCCAACGTATATTGTGCATGCTACAAAAATAAGAAGCGAATCAACTAGAGCGAGAAACGGTGCAGCAAGGTACTCACCAAACGATTTTGTCAACGGAAGTGCCGTCGGTAAACCAGGTGGACGTTTTGAAGGTTAAAGCAACGAAAAAATCCAATGTTGCAAAATACTGAAACAGCGTGTTTTCCGCTACACTACACGCCTAAGAATGCTGTTGAACTCCGATCATTCTTAGGAATGTTATCACACTATTGTCGTTTTTTACAGGGGGCATCAACTATTTTAGCTCTTTTGAACGCACTGCTACATAAAAACGCCACGCGGTATGGAATGATGAGCATCAATCTACTTTACTTCGTGCTAAAAGCTGTTCAGCATCAGCACCAGTATCAGTGCACTGCGATAGAAACAAAGCCTGATCATTCAGTGTCGTGCTTCTCCACGCGGAGTCGGAGCAGTTTTGGGTCATAAAACGCCCAATAGTGCAATTCATCCGATTGCTTTCGCGTGCCTTACAACCAGCTGAAAAAATTACCCAAAATTTGATCGAGAGACTCTATCAGTTATCCTTGGTGTCAAGAAATTTCACCAGTACATTTGGGACGGTCATTTTGAGGTCCAAACTGATCACAAACCGTTGATATCCTTACTGGGTGTATCCAAGGGGATCCAACAAATGTTTTCACTTGTAATGCAACAATGGGGCCTAATCCTTAGTGCTTATGAATACAAAATATCTTGCATCCCAGACTCTAACAATTGTACGGCGGATGCCCTGAGTCGGTTACCGCACGCGACCCCCGCAGAGCCAATAGATGAACAGGTGGAGTTATTTCATTTGATGTAGTACGACGTAAGTGCACCTAGGTGAGAGAGAGATCAACCCCATACTTCCACCAATCATGGTCGATCAACAGCCCCTCGGTAGAAATTAGATAGGTGGTACCAACAGCAGCAATGTGATTAGCGAAGAGTAAACAAAAGCAAAAGATCCCTTGCCTTCGAACCTATATGGTGAGGGCCTCGGTATCGTGAAGGAAAAGCAAGTAGGAATACCATGTTGTTTTTACTGTCGCCATGTAAGGTTTTTGTTTTATGATCAGATACTACCATAAGTTGTTTTTATCGCAGTTGTCTCTTACCCACAATACAGGTCAGCTCAAGACATGGAAAGAAGAGCATATGACGATAAAACTGCACAACCTATCCAACCGAAATGAGTGAAAAACTAGAAAACGAAGAGGGACGTGTTAAAACAGCAGTGATGGCTGAAGAATCCATGACAGGTGATTCAGCGGAATTTCCCATTCCCAAATGTTACCATACGCTCGACTGGAACGAGGCGAAAAAGTTCACAAAAGAAATTCTCCTTCTTTTGAGCCAGCTACAGGATCTAAACAATCTCACGGCACTTTATCGAGTAACCAGACAACTGAATCTAGCATTCAAAATTTGTGCTGAACTGCGCCCACAGATGTCAGAGTATTTGATAGAAAATGGATTCCCTGCGCTTGCAACCCGATTAATCAAAAGAATGAACAATATGGGAGTTTTCAGTAACGATGGAACTTGGTTCTCCTCTTTCTATTTCTACACTATCGCGTGGAACTACACGGATATCGATCGGAATTTTGCAACGAACTTGGCAGTTGCAGGTATTTGTCACTTGCTTAATTTAAACATAGGACATCCGCCATATTTGGAGAACATAAACAGTAAAAATGTGTATTTTCTGATTAAAGCTAGTGCTTCCATTCTATTAAATATCGTCAGGACACCTGGAAACAGAGATATGGGCCAATACACCGCCGGAAGAGATTCGTTGGCCAACATATTAACATTTGAAGAAGAGGAGTCGTTGAAATGTGTAGCGACATTGTGCCTGGCTTACACAATGGTGGAAACGGACGTTCACTTAAAATCATTTGAAGCGGATGGAAGGGCGAGTTTGTTGCAATTTCTACTGAGCCATATATATTCAGCTGATCGTTCAACACGAAGAAGACATCATGGCTTCCCGATGTATGAAATACTAAACGCCTTAAGCGCCTTTGCAGTAAACGAACCTATACAATCGATGCTTCTCTACGCAAAGATCGAAAAAATAGCGAATCCAAAGAGGCCACGATCCAGCGAAACACAGCCAGTGGACTGCATGTCATTTCTGATCAAGTTACTGGATGTATTCAAAAGGTCCGATGGAGATGTGGGAAGCATAAGCGCAGAAAACGAAGCGAACGCGGTAATCCGTATGCTCTATCATATGGTGTTTAATCCAGAAATAAAACACGAAGAAGAGATGAAAGCGTGCGTAAAGACGATGGAGGATTTGATGTTCCATCCGAGTGTAGTCAGCAGAAGGGGTACGGCTTTGTTCAGAGTCTTGGAGAATGCAATATGGCAATCCTCTCAACCATCGAGCACGATAGTTTACGACACATACACGTTACCTGATCCCAACCATTGCGGTCCAATCGTCATGAGCTACGCGCCGATTAACAGGCTGGCTGTGCAGTACTTTGTGGAACAACTTCGGGCAGCTGGACTCCCAATCTGGAATGACACAGTGGACACAGTAATTCAGCATGAATCTGCTCAGGATGTGGGACTCAGTGCACTGGCAGGCACAGTTGCAGACCAGACCGGGTGGTTTCAGTGCCTGAAGCAAGCGACCGTTATGATAGCTTGTCTAAGCGACGCTTACCGTTTGAGTCCAGGTTGCAGATCTGAAGTGGAAAGCTTCATCAGATCAAATACAAAAAGCAGACCTAAAGTGATAATCTACATTATTCTTCCTCCAAGATTTCACCCAAATGGATGGGTGTCGCGACTACCTGGGATAACGGAAGCGCTCGATTTCACACACAGAAAGACGTTTATAGAATCACTTCGAGAATTAGTGACACGAGCGGGGAAACCATACGGTGTAACGGTTGCAAACGCGCCTTTAGACTCATTTACGTTGGATTCAGTGGATGGACATAGAAATTACATAAGTATAGAAGACCTTAATGCGCTAAAATCATCTTCCATATTTCTAAGTTCAACGGATAGTCCACCATCTAGACACAGTGAAATAACTCAAACAGTTGAACAAATGCTTTCAAAAGGAGGCCTCAGACAAGGATCAGCCGTTCGAACGTCCAGCTCGACCTCTGTAACACAGCTTCATTCCAGTGGATCGGACGAACTGAAGCAAAACCAGGAAGGAAACCCACCGGCTCCCATTACGGATGTGAGTGGGTCTAAATATGAGGAAGATAAAGCAAAGGAAATCTTTTCGCCAATGCAAGGTAAAGAGGAGAACACGACAGAAGCGGCTATGTTGGACACACCGAAAACAGAGAATATTCCTTATCCCTTTGATGGAAAACAGTCGGTTCCTATGCTGATTATCGGAGAGCACCAATCAAAAGGGAATTTAGGCAGCGCAGAGCCAGAAACGAAAGGCGCAACCCGTAGTGATGAAATCGAATTACCCGACCAAGAAGGATTATTAAAGCAACCAGCGAGGAAAGAGGTCAGCTACATGGGATCACACAGTGACACAACAGATGTGAATTTGGGAACCATGAAAACAGAAAGTGTATGCGGAATGGATGTTTTCAACAAGCCCGAGCAAACACCTATCGCATCAGCCGAGTTGCCTGCTTCTGAAGATAAAGAGACAAATTCAATACATAAAGAGATTCCCGGGGCGACGTTCAGTTCCAGTGACAAGCCACGCACCCCACCAATTACGCCCACCGTGCCTCACGATAGCATACAAGGTCATGCTGATGGCAGACCAGACGAGATAGTTAGCCATACGGAGCATGAGCGTATCAGTTTAAGAGAATCATACGAAAGAAATGCTGAGAAGGAGAGTGTGTCACAGACAGGATTGCAGCAGGCTAAAGGTTTCTATCAAGATGTACCACAAACAATAGTAACCGGGCCAGAGGACAGTACGGAACACGACAAAGATCAGAAAGTAAAAGTACAGCACGCACCCACAGGAGTCTTGAGCACAACAAGTGAGATAGGCGTCGGAACAAGTGCTGATTGGGTGGAGACACAAGCATACCGAAATGATGAGATAGGTAGCCAAAGAGAGGCGAATCTCAAGGATGAACTAAGCTCAGATGACCACAAGGAATCCAAAACCAGTAAAACAGACACTTCAAAACAACAGAACTTATCACCGGAGACATCAGGAACACTCAGCACACTGAGAGCAGTGCGCATTAGTGGAATTAAAGCAAGACATATCCAAGACATTAGCGTGCAAACACTATCACCCGTGGAAGAAATTAAAAGTATGCCAACATGGTCTTCCAGTGTGAATACACCGGGTCAGTTAATAGGCGCAACGCAAATCAGTGCAGCAGCACCAACCGACTTTATTCTCGGAAGCCATGTGAAAGATACACGAAGTTCGCCCATGGGTATTCAAGATATAGTTCGACCACAGGTGAGGAACTGGTCAGCTGAGCGGGTTACCGAATGGTTCAATAGCAAGGGATTGCAACATTTGCCGCAAAAGTTATGCGGAGTGATAGACGGTGTAGTGTTGTCCCAGCTAGTCTGTCTTAGACACTGGGCTCCGGAATATTTTGCCAAAAGCATACGAACAGAACTGGGTCTAACCTTCATTGAGGGACTTCGCCTCGTGGAAGCAATGGAAGAATTAACAAGACGAAGACCATAAGGAGAATCGAAAACGAGCAAGAAATGTTAAGAACGTAACCAAGTATTGTGTGTAGTAAGTAACGCTTCCCCATCGTATATACCTGTAACGTATAGCAGAGTGATCAGTTTGGATGATAACAGGAAAATCGTGTGATATGCAGGAGCCGACCAAGGTACACGGAAATTCTTGACAAACGCCGTTCTCTGTCAATCTTTGTACTCCGAAGTTCGATCTAAAATATCATCAACCTAAACGTGGGATTGATTTCTAATGCACCAATGGAATGCTTCCGCGGAATGAAGCACAATAAAAGAAACAAAAAGACGTTCGAGACGTGCCATTTCAACTGAGAGGCAACAAAGGTTAGCGAACATCCGTATGGAGCAATTCATGATCGGGTCAGCCAGCTGTGAAAAGTAGCAATGCGTTGGACTTAGGAAACAGTTGAAACTACACACGAGTAGAACCCGTACTTAATCGAAGAAGTGCACAAACAGCAGTGCGCAGCGGAAAGAAAGTTAAATGCGTGTACCAGCGAAGTGAGGAGATAAACAACCACGTGGATATATGTGGCTTTCGTCCATCGAACAGAAATTTAGCGCGCTTACATCACATAGCGTGCTGTCTTTGCACATCTGGAACTTGATGAAACGGCGCTAACAGAGTACGAGCTCCTAAACACGGATGAGAGAATTCCAGTTTAGCAAGTCCTCAGTAGTTGTGTATCACCCGAAACGCTCACCGAGTGCTAGATGTTGCAGAAATATCCATGTGATTTGTTGCACAAATCAAGTTCTACATGAGTGTGTGAAAGATCAGTTCGAGATACATCACCACCACAGGGTACGTAACGAAATCCATGCTACGATTGATGAATTGGGAGACGTGATATTTACTCGATACGACCAAAAAGAATGAAATCAGGAGAAGTGGTTCGGTAAGTGACCGATTTTGGATGCAGTTATCAACATGCCACGATTTGATCCTAACCCACAACGTGGAACATTCAACCTTGACGGGTTGATGCGATTTCACGGCATAAAGTGAGATTTGCATGCGGTTTTGTACCCGTATCTCAACTAATGAAAAAACAAATGGTCTGTAAAGCACTTCTTGTTAAAATAACATAAAATCACGAAAGAGACTGAAAGTGAAAAAGTAGGTGTGCTTCTCGTAATGAGTAGTATAGGAGCCATCAAACGCAGGCAAAAGAGTGACCGAAGCCTGTCCCAATGACCCGAACCTTAGGGGAAACCAACCCTTCAGAACTGTTGGTCGGCGGAAGGCTAACTCGAGATGGGGTTCGAACAGAAACAGTACGTTCTTCAGGAACACCTTCGGTTAGGAATTCTTCTTTATTGAACTTCGATTGGACCAATCCACACATACCGTGTTCATTCCATCCCCAGGTCCATAAGTTGCCGTTAGAATCGATAGCCAAATTGTGCTCCGATCCAGTTGCTATGTTGATAATCTTCACTTTCGTGTCGTCATCATCGATGAATGAAACTTGCCTCGGCATGGGGTCAAACTCTGGGGCGGATCTATTCTCTGAAGATGGGTGTGGAAACACTACCCGTCCTAACTGCCCAAGGTCGGATCGGCCCCAGGTGTAAATATCACCAGAATCTATGAAATAGGGAAGATAAGATCGGGAAAGCATTCATAAAGAAGGTGGCGGCTAGCAGCTAAGATGCTATGGAGTTATCGTTTTCACAGCAGCCTAGGAATAAACGTGGTCATCGAAAACGATGGAAGTCGAAGGCACAGTAATCGTTAAAAAGTGAGCATAACATAAGGCAATCCGTGTTTTCTTGAGAGAATGCGATTCGACCCAGATGCCCAAACCAAAGTAGGGAGTTGTCTTAGTGGACACCACCCCGAGCCTCTGAAAGAATAGCCCATCCGCAAGGTAGAGCAACCGAATTAAGGAATCGCACCAATTAGGAGATAGCGACTGATTCTCAACAAATGCAGCTTTGGTTTCAGAGGAGTAGTAGGGGGAGTTAAATGGTATAGGTACAAATTCGTCACATTGTACGCGCGTTTCATTCTTTCGGGAATCGTCAGCAGTGCGCATTCCATCGGACCCTGCTAGGGCTCGAACCCGCAACTCGACTGTTGCCAGTCCATGGTTGAGACCACTGAGTTAAAGGGGACGGCAACGACCATCGTAAATAAGTTACTAGACGTGATACAGCGCCGCTTACTATACACTGACTTGCACGTGCAGAGGACATGGTACCTCCTCACCAAGCGACGAGCTTACCAAACTTAAGCCGCCAATTAACTTATGGCATTATAATCTTTGGTTTGTTGAGCTGCCAAAGAGAGCACCCAGCGTTCATCCTCTGGAATACAATGTTCCACCGAGGTGAAACAAGAAGCAGTGACTTTGGTTAGTAGCGAATCAAATCCACCATGAACATTTTTGGCTTATTATAGGGAGAAGGCTCACCGGGCGAAAATCCACACGCCCTGAGACACTGCTGTTGAAACATTTTACTGGGACGGGATAAACCCAGATTACCCAGCTGGCATCATGAAGAGGAAATTCGACAAGCAAGCTAATGAGATCAAGTTGCGGGGACTTGTAAGGGAAGAATGAGACCCAATGGAAAGGTCCCTATGTTCGCCTGACCCACAGCACGCAACACACACAATCTGTTGTGAGATATAGCCTATATATGTTGACGGTAGTAAAGCGAATATCGGAAAACAGACTGGTGATCGCGTAGACTGGGCACTAGAACAGAAAACAAAACTCTGGGAAGCGATTGATAGCTATCGCTACTGCGATTTGCAGGCAAGCAGCAGGATAAACGCATTCAATCTCAGGGAATGTCAGTTGACTGATGGTTGTCGAACCTCACAGCTAGGTGAGGTGTGGTCAAATCTAAACCAGGAATGACACAGAAGTGGGAGTTATCACGTGGGTACACTCAGACTCAGTGGAAAATAACCGAATAGGGTAGCTATTGCGTGCCTGTGTAAAGTAATGAGAAATCCGTGCCCAGACCCATAAGGGGCGGATGTGGTGAAAACATGTGTGACAAAAATGGTGTCTGAATTGGAAGACGAAGGTATGGACACTAGCTTGCAGCAACTTCATCACATTCTGTCATCCAGTATGACGAAAGTAACTGATTACAAGTACGAATGAAGATGGTACGTTATAAGCTGAGAACTTATTTCATTTGGATGGGTAACAAGGATGATCCAAAAACCGCGCGAAAAAAGGAAAACCAGGCAAAAGTGCGTGGACACCGGTTGTTAATGATGGAAATTTCATGCGACAGAAGACTGGAGATAAGACGTACTGAGTAGCTACACCAGATGGGATTGACAGAGAGCTCTGAGCTGCAGGTTGCTTCTGGAGAACGATACTCAACGAATAGATATAAAGGTATGTACATATTGCAGAGGGGTAGTTGAATGGCATAGGCGGAAATTCATCACATATAGACTCAAACACAGTCATCACACGCTCGGCAAAGCACTGCACGGCCGTTTCATCTTTTCGAGAATCATCAGCAGTGCGCACATCTGACCCTACTCCTCTGTAATCAGCACGCAGATCCAACTGCTTGTAATGCTGTAAGTTAGTTGGCGGCCCAAGTTTGGTAAGGTCGTCGCTTGGTGAGGAGGGGTACCTGTCCTCTGCAGGGTAATGGATAGTGAGCGGCGCTACGTCACATCTAGTACCTTAGTCACAGTAGCTGTTATCGGCTCACGTACCTCAGTGGTCTCAACCACTGACTGGCAACAGTCAAATTGCGGGTTCGAACCCTACCAAGGTCCGATGGAATGCGCACTGCCGACGATTCCCCAAAGGATGAAAAGCGCGTACAGTGCTTTTCCGGGCGTGTGACGGCTGTCTGAGTGAGTCAATATGTGACGAGTTTCTACCTATACCATTCAACTCCCCCTACTACTCTTCTGTAATCAGCACGCAGACCCAACTGCGTTGCCGTCCCCCGTAGTCAGTGGTCTCAAACACAGACTGGCAACAGTCTAGTTGCGGGTACGAGTCCTATCAGGGCCCGATGGAATGCGCACTGCTGACGATTCCCGAGAGGATGAGACGCGCGTACAGTACTTTTCCGGGCATGTGACGGCTGTCTGAGTAAGTCAATATGTGACGAGTTTCTACCTATACCATTCAACTCCCCCTACTACTCTTCTGTAATCAACACACAGACCCAACTGCTTATAATGCCGTTAGTTGGCGACCCAAATTTGGTAAGGTCGTTGCTTGATGAGGGGGCTATCCTGTCCTCTGCACGGCAGTAACGTGTAAGTCAGTGGATAGCGAGCGGCGTTATATCACATCTATTACCTTAGTTACGATAGCTGTTACCGGCTGCCGTACCTCAGTGGCCTCAACAACAGACTGGCAACAGTCAAGTTGCGGGTTCAAGCTCCACGGGGGTCAGATGGAATGCGTACTGCTGACGATTCCAGAAAGGATGAAACGGCCGTACAGTACTTTTCCAGGCGCCTGATGGCTGTCTGACTGAGGCTAGATCTATTAAATTTCTACCTATACCACTCAACTCACCCTACTACTCTTATGTACTCAGTATGCAGTCCAAACTGCTTATAATGCCATAAGTTAAATGGTGGCCCAACTTTGGTAATATCGTGGGTTGGTAAGGTGGTTACCCTGTCTTCTGCATGTGCAAGTCAGCGGATAGTAAGCGGCGCTATATCACATCTAGTAACAGTCACGACAGTCGCCGCCGTGCCCCGAGGCTCAGTGGTCTCAACCACAGACTAGTAACAGCTGACTTGCAGGTTCCAGCCTACAAGGGTCAGATGGAATGCGCGTTGCTGACGATTGCTGAATGGATGAAACGGCCGTGTGGTGGCTGGCTGATTGAGTCTAGATATGATGAATTTCTGCGTATTTACAGATCTTCAACAGATATTCAAGTAGCAGAGTGCCACAACACATGGGCGAAAACAAAAGAAAAGCGGAAGGCTAGAGATGAGAGTATTGTAATACGTTAGTTTCAGTTATGTGCGGTATTTGGTTGCGGTAAAGCTACTAGGGTTACCTTGACATTGCCACACAGATTCGGAAGGGGGAAGTGTTCTGGCACCAAGGAGACACTTTAAAATACGATATTTAATAGCCACGCGGAAACAACGCGAATTTCGTGGCACACAGCAAAAGCATAAAAGTTAGGCGCTAGCCGTTCACATTATTTTATCGAAGCGAAGTTCAGTCCTTAGCAAAGCGTAGCGTAGAAAATACCCGGTACTTTAGCAAGAGAGCGACGTACCAGTCCGCGCGACAATGTGGCTCCAGCCAGAGACAACCTGAACTACAGGTCGACCACCGAACAGATCCCGATGAAGGTAAAGACGTGGTTCCGCATTGATCTCGCGTTCACCAGGTTTTCGAAAGTAACTCAAATCGCCGATAAGTATAATGGATCCGTTCGCTGTCAGTATTAAGTGAAAAGTGGATTGCATTAAATAGTGAAAAACAAATGTTGATGGTAAAAACTCGACCGAAATGTTTATTAGATCATGATAAGGAAACAGACCTGTCAGAAGTGTGGAGTGATAAGCACCAGCGGCACATGCGACGGGGGTACCCCCGAGTTCATCATGCGATATACGCACAGCTTCGATATTGTGGAGTTTTGTAGGTGTGGTACTGCCCAACTGATTGCGTCGATTCGATCCCCAGGACAGCGCATCTCCGTCCGCTAGGGAATTTGAATGATAACTTAGGCAACTGCATACTTGTAATGGCTACTGCATGGCGCAACCCTGCTGAGATGCAAGAAAACGACAATGGGTTGACTAGGATCTTTCAGATAAACGACGGAGGTATCGGAACTTACGGGTGTTGAAGAAGAGCTTATGTCAGGTAAACCAAGTTGACCAAAAGCGTTCGAACCAGACGACCATAGGTAGCCACTTTTTGTCAACAGGAAAGAAAAATCCCATCCACAGGCAAGGTGAGAGACAGGCGAATTCAGTTGCGGGATCACTCGTTCAAAATGAAACTGCGTACCGGATCTCCCCAACTGTCCGGCAGAATTGTTACCACAACTGTGCACATTGAACCCTATGAGTGGACAATAAAAGTACAACGTAGAAACAGGAATGTACCGTCGAAAAACATAGAGTGACCACCACCACCAGCGATCAGCTCACATTGAGAGTTGGAAATAAACTCCGGTTCAAGCCTGTCGATCTGGTCGCCGGTTCCGAGCTGTCCATGACTATTGGCCCCCTGGATGTAGTTTCAAAGTAGAGAAAACCCACCCAAGCGAACATTGGTCAGAAGCCAAAGCGAATCGGCGTGTGTGTGTGTTACCGCAATCCGAAGGTTAGGTCACAAACAAGCGATCATAGACAAGTAAGCACGGAGAGTTTGTCACTGTCGCATGGCAAAATAGAGCAAAATGTATGTAAGCAAATATGCCACACTGTATCCATCTAGAGATGGCTAAAATAGAGCAGATGAGCAGAGTAGATTTGCGACAAGATAGTATCTTTAAAATCGATCGGCAAACCGAAGAAAATAGTGAAGAAGTGCATAAAGCTGTCATCAACGAAGTGGATCGCAAATGTGTTGCGAGAGGCGCATACCTAGTTCTGGCCCGTGGCACCTGCACAGCGAAGTACAGGATGCGGTGAGTTATGCGCCAATGGGTCTAAAATCGGTAGTCTGTATAGGCACCGAAGGCCTAGTAACACTACTCGACAGGACAAATGATAACCGCTGGAGCTGGCATCTTTCTGATCAAGAAGTTGGCTTATCGGTATTGAGCTCGTGACAATGCGAATAAAGATCACAGGATCTGCGCCAGCGCCATTCAAAACAGAAATGGTGAAGGTCCATGGAAATAGAAACTGATTTGAAGGTATATGTTGCAAATCAGATGATTATATAGTAGCACTCTAAAAGCTTCCTTAAGTAAGTACATTGGTTTTGCGCTTATCGATCGATCTGCGCTTGTACCCACTTATCCAGACAAATGTAAACTGACTAGTGAAGCCGTGTACGGTTTCCACACTTCCCGATATGCAAAGTAGCACTCTTTGTGGATATTCGGAGGTAAATCACGTCGGATATGTGAGCTGTGCCGGGTATGAACCAGAGAGTAAGCAATGCGTGGGGCAGCATAGCTATTTTTCGTATTTTTAAGATGTGAATACGTCGACAGCTAACGCCCACAAATGGCTACACTGACCAAGTATAGCGGATGCAATAAATGTATCATCTGACCGACCGTCGATGGATGATGACTAAGTTGTCAGGTAACAAGTTACGCATGCCAGCATACCGACTACTGCGACATGCGTTGTTTGAGGAAACGCATGGAAGGCGAGGGAAGGCTAGCTGATAACTCCGTCTAATGGAATAAAGGTCCTCACTTCGAAGTTCTCCCGACTTGGGGCCCCGAAATGATGAACATGTGTGGTCGGACACATGTGCTAACATGGCGAGGAGTTGACCTCATATTGTAACGGTATCGCATTTTTGGCCAAAACACGTAACTATTGAACACCTTGTCAATACAGATTCGTCCCGTAACTTCTGTGCCTTCTCCTCAACTATCGGGAACGGTACTCGCCAGTAGCTTGATGGACACGGTCAGTCTATTAACGTGAGCAGACCACTCTCAATAAATATTGAAAAATTCGTGTGGTGCACCGCAATAGAAAACAGTATGTTGGCAAAATTTAAACTACTTCAAGAGAAGCACGAGTTTGCGCTACTGTTAAGTACTGTGTAATTGTCGCTTGCTGATACCGGAGACTTTATTCTAATGACACCTGTGCACGGTGTTCCTTTTTCCATGTACTAATACGAAGTCGAAATTGTAAAATAACAAAAATGTATCTATATGAGCACAAAAGGCTTATGTTTTCGACTTAATGAGCCAATACATCATATTAATAGTTAGAAAATGGGACGATACCGAACGATGAGAAGTAGAGATAGAAAAGGTGAACAAAATAACGAGCTGGATTGTCAACCACTGGGTGGCAGAGGATAACGAAGTATTGGGACTCAATGGTGTTGTAGGCACACACTATGAGAGGGTGACAGCTTAAAGACTATCAAAGTTGCTAAGCCGAAATCAATTAGAATACTTGGATCATAATGCAACGCAATGCGGCCGAAATGCCTGGATCCCCTGACGGAGCCTTCCCCCACAAGCCTCAAAATGAGATTGATATACTTATCGCGCCTTTAAAGTGTTGAATGAATTCTTAGACAAATGCATGTGAAGCCACAATGAAGTTAAAACTGTAGTGGCGCGAGAAGGTATGTTTTCTTGCAGTGTAGTGAGTTTATTCCAAAACATATCTAAATGATATAGCACTGAATGCGATCGCCTGTAGGCATCCACTTAGCAGTAGCACGCACCACCAGTCAACCGCTCAACATGACATCCGTTTGAATCATTAGCCCAGTAGTAGTTACCGCTTCATTATCGTAGGAACAATTGTGTCCCCCAGGTTTGTGCACAAGGAATGTCTCGTTTAAGGTAGCAGCAACACTAGAACAACACTAGAAGATTTGGTGGACTACCAATTGCTTCTAAAACCGAAGGGCAATCAGCATTAATCTCACAAAAGAGACTTGTGCGATCAATCCCACTGAACCGACGGTAGCTTAACAGACTTCAACTGTACACAACACGGTGCGTAAAAGACTTCACACCAAAATCCAAAGGAGGACGAAAACGGTCGCAAAGTGATGTTGTGAAGGAGTACCGCAGAAACCTTCCAATTCGGATACGATCCTAGTGGTCAGAATCACAGAGGTCTACTTCAAAATAAGCCAAGGTGCCAACAGAGATGGAGTGTCGCAATCCAAACACGGTATGTTAAAGTCCAACACTGAGTTCCTAACTGTTGCGCCAAGCGTTGCCCACGGATCTCAGTGTTCCAGTAGTCAGCCGTCTACCACACTATGTCGCGAATTCCACTCTCAACTCTGTTTATCTCAACCTGATAGGTTCAAAAAAGGATGAAAGTGGTTATTGGTGCAGTGCTTGGAGCGCGCGACTCCGAACTTTCCAATTCGTTTCTTTGGCCAAGACCCGATTCCTTGGTCACTACTCGTGGCCAGTCCAAAAAGGTCTGTAGTTGTCATACGGATAAAGCCCTTCATAGCCAGTAACGTTTATGTTAAACTATTTCAGATGTGGAGTTACCTCACCTGACCGATCTTGGTGTAGCCAACCAATTTGGCATTTAATCCTTCCTAGTAGTCTGTCTTCATCCAGGCGGAACTATTTTGCTTGCAGTACTCAAGGTGTGGCCTAACAACCATTTAAAACCAGGAAATAAACGCTTTAAGTTTGACGCTTCATAGTGCTCTCGTCGAACTGTTAAAGTGCAAATGGCAACGGGGGTTAAAAGTGTCCGTCACAATGGCAAGCTGGTTGCGAAAAATCTAAATCGCCACAGTGTGAGAGGTCCCTAAACCAGGTGCATTGTAATCCCATCACAAAACGTAACCAAGCTTTGAATTTTGTCAGTGTTTAGGAGTAAATCCTATGAGTTGTAACATTGCACTACAGCGCGCATGCCTTCCGACAGTTTAGTTCCATCACTTCAGTTTCATAGTTATAGGCTAGCTGCGAAAATAAGGTAAGAGTTTTGTAGAAGCCAGACCATGGATGAAAACTAGAGAACAATAGGCATAGAACCGAAACCGTGAGAACCTGCTACAAGCAATAAGCATATCCTATCTAGCCTCACAATCGTAACATTACATTTTACAAGTAAAACGTGACCATTTCGCTGACCTCATCCACGAAGACGGCAGGCAGTAGGCTAGCCAAGTCTTTCAGTCAGTCTCTTCATGCCACCGTATGGACTGGTCAACACGTGGTTTCGCCCAATTTAGTGCAGCCACGGCGTATAATGCACACCAAAAAAGTCGATCAATGGACACACGGAGGAAATAACCTAATCAACATATAACTCAAGAAACGCTTAAGTGACACCAGAAGGATTCTTGCCAAAAACTAATTGGCAGACATCAGCACTGCTCACCCGGTGTTCCCATCACATGTCAGCAATACTATGTAAGCACCGGTTCATAAAGACGGCAGGTCTCGGATCCATACAGTAGCACCAGTATCGCAACGTTATACCCCTACCTCCCCCTGACAAACTGAGATCCCATCGTGCCAGTCGATATACGACAGGAGCCTTCCAGAAACGCGAAGTAACCTCTTCAGTAATGTGACCACCAGCGGTGACGCCGCTACTAATATAAATGAACCGATCCATCACATCCATCCAAATCCGGTGGTTTATCGGTTTAATCCTGTAACTACACCTCATACTCTAAACGTGCAAAGCACATGCCGAGGAGTAAAGCGCTACGCACCAGTCTAGCCAGCAGTAGTTGCAAAGCCACTGAGTCAGACCCAAGGAGAGCTATGTCGTCCGCCTATTCAAGGCTTGTTAGTTGGTCAGATGATAGAACTTCCGCTCCGGAAGTCTGAAATAACGGTATTAACCATTCGTCGCAGTTAGACTCAAGCAGACAGCCACCACTCATCCAGGAAAGCGCTAGAAGGCCGTTTCGTCCTATTGGGACTCGTCAGTAGCACGCACCCACCAAATCCTGCCGGATTCGAACCCACCACCTTACTCTTGTGAGTCAGCGATTTCTGTCACTGAGCCATGGGCAACGGAAGCGGACCGCCATAACTGCTATCTAACTGCGATATAGCGCGGCTCGTCCTCCACTATCTTGCATGTTATGAACGTGCAGAGGACACGGCTGGCCCCCAGAGCAACGACTTCTTTTGCAAGCCGCTACCAATCAAGGTGGCATGTAAGATGCTAAGGCGGCTACTGATTATTTGCAAGTAGTAGGGGATTTTTGGGTTTTTGTGTAGTTGCGCCATGGCGATTCGCTGTCGTCGCCCATGGCTCGGTGACAAGTCGCTAACTCGTAACAGCAAGGGCGTGGGTTCGAATCCAGCATGATTCGGCGGGTGCGTGCTACTGACGACTTCCAATAGGACGAAACGGCCTTCTAGCGCTTTAGTGGATGAATGGTGGCTGTCTGCTTGAGTCTAACTGCTGTGAATCTACACAAAAACTCAAAAAATCCCCTACTACTTGCAAAAGGTACCAATCATGATTGGCTCAACCTCAAAGCTGAAGAGGAAAGAATGTACGTAACAACCCTGGCGAACTCCACTAGTTGTGAAAAACTATCGTCATCAATACACGTCAGCTGAAGATGAGACACAGCTGTGTCGCAATACAAAAAAGATAAGATGATAAACGCTGCAGAATATAATACTAAAAAACAAGTAATATAATGTTAAGTATCATATTACGGAGTATGGGATAGTGAAGAGAGAAGGAAGCGAAGCAGGAGTGGAAAGGAAA